TCATGACAATATATACCAAAGTATCCTCATCATCAAAACCCAAAACCAAGTGACCGGATAAAGAAATGAACTCACAAGGTTTCCGATGACGAAGACTAAAAACGAAGCACAACAGCGGTGAGGAAGAAACAGCAGCAACAGCGGCTGGAAGAGGAAAGACAGCAGCAACCGGCGAGAGGAAGAAAGGCGGCAGCAACCACCGGCGATGAGGAGGAAGAGGAGGAGCGGTCGCCGGCGAGGAGGAGGGACGGCAGCAGCAGCTGCTGCCGGCGGTGAAGAGGAAGCAGCAGCGATGAGGAGGAAACAGCAGCAACAGCAGCCGTGGGTTTCTGCAGGGAAGAGGACTAAGGTTTCAAAGAACTTTGGGGGGAAAAACTCTACTGGTTTCCTTCTTTTTCCTTTTTCTTTTTGACCGATCCTTGTTAGCTAGGGGGGTTAGAGCATGCCACACTACTTTTCCTGACAACACACAAAGGGGTAAGGACCTCCATGCATGAGGTGACAAGCTAAAGGTATGGTCCAAAGTCCATAGGTAGTACCCCCCCCCCCTTTTTCACCTATTTATTTATTTTCTTAAGAAAACCACACTAGCATATACATATTTATAATATATATATATACATATATATAAGTATATATATACATAAAATATTCAAGAATAAGAGAAAATAATAGAATACCTCGTAGCGGAACGAAAGAGAATTTCGGGGTGTTACATGACGTGTTTCATGGTTTTGTGATTAATCAATAAATTTTTTCTACTAGACGTATTTAGTTATGTCTCTTATATAAGTCATGTTCCATAAACTTTAAACTTAACATCTTATTTTAGCTGGGCAAAAAAAATAGAATTTAAATATTTTCATCAATTGTTTGACTTATGTATCTTTCATTGGTATTCTACAACACTATAAGATTCTATTTAAGTACTCAAACAATCATTTGTTGAGCTTGCATATTATATATTTAATTCATTATTTATTCTTATTGGATCTCAATGGATCATCTTTTCTTTCATATTCTTATTGATCCTCATTTGTCTACTTGTCTAGAAAACCTTGATAATCTTCTTTGTTATTGATCTCTCATTGACCCTCATAATTACTTCATTCACACAAATTCTCGTTTTGTATCAAAATAACACATATTTCTTGTTATTGACGGATGCCGAGTCCACCAAATAATAAATTCCAACTAACGACTAATTACAACCAAAATTGTAGTAGTGTAAGTCGGGTCGAATCCACAGAGACTCGGTCTAATGTTATACGACTAGCAAATCAAGTACACGGTGAAAGCGTAAAAATACTAATAATTACGAGGGGGGTTT